AGTAATGAAGTTCTCTCCAATTCTCCTCGATCCATACAAATTTTCTGTATTGTAATCCTTAAATAGCAATAGAACTACGACAAAATATTATGTAATGCCATTATATTTCAACTATTCATGAAGATATATATATATATATATATATGGAAATAAATTCATACATGATGATGATGATGATGATGATGATGATGATGATGATGATGATGATGATGATGATGATGATGATGATGATGATGATGATGATGATGATGATGATGATGATGATGATGATGATGATGATGATGATGATGATGATGATGATGATGATGATGATGATGATGATGATGATGATGATGATGATGATGATGATGATGATGATGATGATGATGATGATGATGATGATGATGATGATGATGATGATGATGATGATGATGATGATGATGATGATGATGATGATGATGATGATGATGATGATGATGATGATGATGATGATGATGATGATGATGATGATGATGATGATGATGATGATGATGATGATGATGATGATGATGATGATGATGATGATGATGATGATGATGATGATGATGATGATGATGATGATGATGATGATGATGATGATGATGATGATGATGATGATGATGATGATGATGATGATGATGATGATGATGATGATGATGATGATGATGATGATGATGATGATGATGATGATGATGATGATGATGATGATGATGATGATGATGATGATGATGATGATGATGATGATGATGATGATGATGATGATGATGATGATGATGATGATGATGATGATGATGATGATGATGATGATGATGATGATGATGATGATGATGATGATGATGATGATGATGATGATGATGATGATGATGATGATGATGATGATGATGATGATGATGATGATGATGATGATGATGATGATGATGATGATGATGATGATGATGATGATGATGATGATGATAGGCAATACGATTAAATGGGAGTCTTTGGTTAAGATAAAATTTTAGTTTATTTTTCTAGTAATAACTAGCCACGTGTATTGGAATATTTTAAGTTAGGATAATAATTATAGAAGCGTATGAAAATGTAAAATTATAGAAATGAAGATGAACGAAGAAAAAGATGGGCTTACTGATATTATTAGCTACTGATACAAAATTAGCTAACTAACTTATGGAATATTAGTTATACATTTATTTATGAATGTGCCTTCAATGCAAAAACATTTCGACAAAGCATATTTAAAATAGTCAATGAACATTGTTAGTTATTTACATAAAAATTGTAATAATAAAATAATGCGAAAACATAAATTACATTGAATTCGTCTTTCCAAAGGTTTTTTTTTTATGTTTTTCTTTTTTTTCTCTCTTTTTTTTTTAAAGCAATTATTAAATATCTCGTCGATATATAAATATTTTTTTAGAGTTATAGAAAGTCATTAAACAGCTAATAATGTTCATTTAATCTTATTTACTACAAGCTTTTATGCATTTTTTACAATTTTTCCCAGTTACATTGGAAAATATATTATATTCATTTATATTCATAACTTTTTTGTATATTATATTCTAAATTGACGAGCTTTTAATTCCTACAATTTCTCATAAAGTTTTAAACATTATCGATTGATTTCATATTGCAAAACGACTAATATTATTCAGTTCACACATTTATGAATATTATCATAAACTACAATTAAATTAATTTACTCATATACTTATATAGGATGTAGCCTGAAATAACTAATATTAAAAATTTTCCTAAAATTCGTCATATTGAAAGAGCTTTTATCAAATTTTTTTAATTATATAGTAATAGCCTTTCTTTTGTTTTTATTTGTATAAAAAAAATTGACATCGGTTCGGATTAGATAGGAACAATGAAATTCATATATCTTTGGTTGCTTTAACAATGTCGATGTAAATGAAGTTAAGAGATGGACAACTTATTTCGAATAATATAAAATTTGATTAGCAAACGATATCTCATTACTACATTTTACATGTTAATACAAACTAATTTAAAAGTGATTGAAAATTATAAATAATATTCCTTCAAATTATGTATTTTGTAAGCTTTAATTTTGCATATATATATATATATATATATATATATATATATATATATATGTATGTATCTTAAATTTCCAAGGATTAATATTTGAGAAATAATATTACAGTTTGATTAATAGAAATACTGAGTATTTAAAAATGTTATTTAATATCATCACATGGAAAAGTGGGGAATTGAAGAAAAGAGTATAGGAAAATAAGGTTTTGTGGGTGAATTTGCAAGGCCTGATGAATCTTCAATGACATTGTCGTAAGAATACCGATAGAAGCTAGTAAGTACACTCGTACCTCTATTCTTCTCTGATTTTTGTTTATAAAATAAGTTATTCAAAAGAACGTAAAAGATATTTTGAATTGTCTACTAGTGCAATTGCATGGTATAAAATATGAAATATGATTTTGCGTCTGGAATATTGCTTCGAGTGCCGATCTTGTCTCTCTGTCTTGAATGTTCCATCAGTCTTTTTAAGCTCCTTCCGACATATTTTCGAAATTCATTCGTACACCAATTTTCCAGCGGCAAATTATTATAATTCAAGAAAATTCGCCTATTTTATCACGATAAAATTCCCGTTATGAAATCTTATTCAATAGTATTATTATTAGGTTCTGCTTTTTTTTTTTTTTTTTTGATATCTCTAATCGAGGCTTACGAAGATAAGTCAGTAGTTTCTAAATATTACTCAAACCGTTAAGGTTGAAAGAAACGTTGATAATAAACCAATGAGTTTTCTCAAGCCAAATTGTATAAAACAAGCCATTTCACAATGAGATATTTCTCGCGTAAAGTTCTAACATCTTTTTGGTTAAAAAGCTCTTGGTGCGGCGGCAGTGATAATAAATATAGAGAAGAAAAGTAGCGAGGCGTGGAGGAAAGTTGTTTGGAACTGTTGAGGAAACGCGTGGTCACGATGGCTCCATCAACATGTAGCGAAGCAAGAAGCCAAAACTTAGCCTCCGTATGACTCTCCGTCCGAATCTCCATGCAAATTAGCTTCGGTGTTTCTTAATCATTTGGCAATGTGTAGGTGTGCAAAAGGGCATAGTTTTGTAATAGCAACGAATTGTTTATTAATAAAATGTCGGCTTTTTGGGAGGATGAGGTGGGGGTCTGGAGGGGACGTTTGGAAGGGCGAAATTCACCTTTATTAACAGAATTCAACGATGACTTTGTGATGTTTTTGCGTTGTTTAATGAATCTCGTTGATACTTATTTTCTAAATTAATCATTTATTATGCTAAAAGTTTGACTTTCGTCTAGGATTTTGTAGGTTAAAATTATGCAAAAGTATTTCAAGAAGCGAGGCTGGTATGTTGTAAGTTTTCATATCTCAACTTGTCTTTTATAACGTCCCGATATGATTTTCTTATTATTATTCTTCGATAAAATTGATTTTCATGCCTACACAAAGCGTTTTTTCTTCTCAATTATAACGGGACATTTATAATTTAAAATACATTCTACTTGCTCACTAGTTTAAAACGATAATATCAAGTATGAAGTCGATACATCGATACCATAAATATTGAAAAAGCCAAAATTGTTTATTCATAATTTGATTTTACAATACAATCGTCCCATCGTTTAATTAAACGAATTAAGTTATCCAACTAATTTAATGGGCAATTAAAATTTTATGAACCCTAAGAAAGCGAGGCACTTTATTTATTGGATAAAGTAATTGTAATTTTCAACAGCCTCAATTTGGCACTGAACTTTCTGGTTCTAACCGTAAAGTTTTTTAATTTTTTTTTTGTAAATTTTTTCATCTTGCGGATAGTATGAGCTTTTTAAAAATTGTCCCGACGTTGACACTATCGTTGTTATTTGACGATAATTCATTTCCATTTACCGAGATTTTCAAATTCGAGAATAAAATGTTACGTCGACGAAAGTTGAAGTAAGATGGATAAGAAGAGAATAAGTCGAATTGAAGTACATGCAATTTTGCTGATGAATTGCTATTTTCTTGATGAAATAGCGTCGTGCATCGTATCTTCTCACTTCCTCCCTTAGATCATTCATTAACTATTAACTATTAGCACTTTTAAAAAGACGATCGGATGAATTTTTGGAATACTTTGAGATGCGGTGTAATCACCTGTTCAGTCGACAGAGTGACGCTCGCTTTATTGTGGTTCCTTCCTCTAAGTTAGTCCTTTGATAGCTACGTCCAGTCTGTTTTGAATGATTGATCAAACTTTCGATTGCAATACAAAAAGTCTTAGAAAGTGGAAATTGAATGTCGCAGAACCGTCTCTCAAATATCTCATTATTTTTAATTATGGGTTAACAATCGGCAGTTCGGGTTCATTTTCACGCTAAACTTTTTCGCGTGGCAAGATATTCTTTTATTTACTTATTCGCTTACAATTACAAATAACTTCCAAGATTAACATTATCTCCCACTCGCTGTTGTTATTAGCACGATAATAATATTATTAGTAATATTTGTCTATAATGAATTGTCTTAGTTATTTATTTGGCGGCATATTAAGAATATTGTAAAAAGTATAGTATAAAATATATCCTAACCGAAGCCGAAGAAAGATAAAAAGGTTCTTTTCTCTCATAATAAAACAGTTATCTCTTATCTTGGGATCTAAAAAATTGACTTATATGTGCTGTTTTACAAACTAATTTTATTCTTTTATTTAGTATGTATTTGAAGAGTATCGTGATTACTTGAACTATTGTAAGAAACGATCTTCTTAGCGATAGAGCATAATTATTATAAATGAAGCACGCAAAGCACATAATAAAAGCTCTTATGTACTCTCTCGTGTCGTTAAAACTATTGTAAAAAAATACGTATGATCCAAAAAAGTTTTATACCTAAACAAACATTACGAGTACGTATTTATGTAAATAATATTTTTATTAACCTGTGTTGCCATACAATAGGACTTACGCGAATTCCATCTCTTTTACAGGCTCGACCAGCCGGTGACCAATTCAACTTCCGGCATGGACGGCAAAAAGGTAATTAAAATAAATTAAACATTTGATATTAAAATTTTTATTAAAGTTTATACCATAATTTTTGGTATAATAATGAGCAATATCGAAGAGATGCATTGCCAGACTTAACAACTTTATCATTAGTATATTTAGCAACGAGTTAGTATTCATGTTTTAGTATCTGTGCGTACAATATTTTTTAGAAAAGAATACGTTATTTCATAAATTTCTAAACTGTAGAGTTTATATTTCTGTGTCAACATCTTTCCTTCGTTAATCCTTTCATTTTATTATTAATTTTCTCCTCATTTAATTTTTAAGTATCGTGTTTCTAAAACGCAAAAATAAAATACCATACAACATGCGTGTCGCGCAAAATGAATATTCAATATAATAAGTAATCAATCTCTAATTACCCTCTACGTAATACATTCGTTATACAATGTTAAATGCATATTCTTCATTCGCGAGAGGCAATATCTAAACGGCTAAGACTCCTTTTAGAGAAAATTATTTAATAGAGCTTGAAAAAAAGCATAAGGCAGTGAGAAATATGTATATGAAAGGAAAAGGACGCACCTCCACGTGAATAATAATTATAACACGTGTATGTAGATTTAAATTATCACGATGGCGGATTTCTAAACAAATATTTAAATTAGACCGTCAAAGTAAATTGGGATATTTTTTAAGCTTAAGTTATCCTCGCACGTTTCAACGTAACCACTTCAAGGCATTTACAATCATATCAAAATACCCATGGATTCGCTGTCTCCCTTAATTGCAATCGACCTCTCGTTAATTTAATAATATTCATAAATATAATTCATAAATTTTCTTAATCTAGCATATCACCAGCATTGACTTGCAATTAGAAGATTCGATCGAAAGAGAGAGGAAATAGGGAATGAATAGATAGGCCGTTGGACGGGATACTTTACTTGTCCAGACTTTATATTTCTTCGTTAGTGTCGATTTTAGTACGTATCACTGTCCTTATTTGTTTGACCTCGTCATCAATTTTCTCCGCCCCGTCGCCAAAGCAAACGTTTTCCCGCATTAAAATACGTCTTGCCCTAGTGGGATAATATACCAGGACGACGAGATTCTTCGGCCATAATGTTACCGAATATCAAAGACCAAATGGTTTGACGAGCGTCGATGTGTGTGCGGCTGATTATACGAGGACACGATAATTCGGGCACATGTCTCTCTTTGCCTTATATTGAAATGGAGTGAGCAAAGTATGCGCATACGCTTAGTTTGAATAGCGGAGCCATGGATCCGGATGGGCTTGGCCCGAGTGTACTCCAAGTCTCTACAAGGCCAATTATGGATTCTCGCTCTACTTGTCGGGAAAGAGGAGTGAATACCGACTAAAATTTGGTTGCCGTGTGTGCGCGTGCGTGTATGACGAAGTCATTATCGAGATTCGCGCGTGGCTCGTGAATTACGTGTACATTGAGACGGCCACTTGCATTCCCATTTCTTTGTCCTCGATGGCAAGTTTTATGGGAGTTTTGTTGATGCAAATGTGCTTCAAGAATACCTTTGACGTAGAGTTTCCCGCTACCTTCATACTACGGCTTGTGCTTATGCTTCCAGCCCCCCTCCCCCAATTTTATGAAAACTTTCACGCGCTTGTAAAGAGCAAAGTTTCAAGGAGTCAGGAAGTCGCGCGTCGCTAACTATTGCTATAAGGATCATTAAATGGTCGCGAGCACCGACAATTCTTTTCCCAAACAATTGCTTACCACACGGATTTTCTCGTTTATCCTTATGAATCTCCTCTATGAACATTAAGTTGAATATCGAGGCGGGGAATAATTATATTTGATTTATCGTCCGACATATTAGCAAACGGATAATTCAGGGAAAATATCTAGAGAACTTTGCGGCTCGGATGCTTACCTTTAATTTCCCAATGGAAACGCTAAATTGTAGGTATCAGCGCTAAATGATACTACGCTCATATAACGAGTAAATTCTCTATTCGCTCGCGCATCAGTCGCTCGCTAGTACTTACCACTTAAATAAAGATAGGATCTCAGAAGCTTTGTACTATCGTCTCTCAAAAACTCGCCTAGATTATGTGTAAAGGTTGGTAATGCCGGCGGCAGGTTTTTATGTAAACGTCGGGCACTGGCAGAGATACTTTGTCACCGGGTCCCGAAGGCCGATCTTATAAGGCGCAAAATCTCGGGTTGCAGAGGCCGTCGCACATGAGCCGCCGTGGGCTTTTCCTCAATCATCGGGGAGCTTCGTACGCGAGACGGCAGACGGGGGAGAAAAAAGTCCAGAATGAGGAAGAAGAGATTGCGGGGAACTGGATGAGAAATGGGAAATTCGAGTCTCCTTATAATCCCATTGGCTCTGCTTTCTCTACACGCTACTCGTCCGCTGGTAGTAGACCCTTTCTCCCTATTTTCTCGGTGTACTCTTTATTTTGGCCCGCGTCGACGTCTCCTCGTCCCTTCCCACTCCCCCTTTATCATCATACAGTGGAAACATTCGCGTTTTTCGCGCCCAACCGACGACGCTCCTCGGCCTCGGAAAATTGAGTCGCATTTGCCATGCGCTACGCTCCTTTTGACTAAATCCAGCGTCGTCGAGTACACTAGCTGCGTAAACATTATGGATGAGAGAATTGCATAAATTCAACACGTATCGATCTATTACATGAACAAGGCGTGAAACAGGAAAATAATATTTTATCTCAGACAAAGTAGCGCGAATTTGTCACCGAGAAAACTAACGGGCGTCCATCGCGAAAACTGCAGGTTGCTAAATTAAGGTGGGCATATGGAACTACCCGAGGACGCAGGAGCGACACTAAATAATAACCCCATTACGCAATATATTCGTTATTACTTTTGTTGAAAAATCCTAGAAAATCACACTTTCGTAGGCGTATTATTTCGTGATATCTTTTATTAAAATAATCCATCGATCGTACAATCCCAACAATATATGCATTTCAATACGCGAAATAAGCCGATTTTCCCCCATGCCATACCAGGACTTGTAAATCAATTAAAACTATCTATATCCTAACTGCCGATGGTTAAATAAAAGCGCGGAATTTCAAAATCTATGGCTTTCCCGAGCATCGGCATCATCATTGGCTTTACCAAATGTCTGTCCATTTCTTTAATTGGTAAAAAACTTTTAACGCCTATTCCCATTCAAAGATTTATCTTATGGGGAACAATTCGACGCCGTTACAAAAGCCTCTCCAATGACTAAAGATTCCAAAAATTACTCCTATATCATTTCATAATATCGTAGTGATAAGCTCGTTGCTCCAGTAAAAGTAAGAATCCCAAGATTCGGGCCCCAATTGATTGATGAGATTGGGCCTGTATTCGCTCAGAAATGCTCTTCTCGCGGTCTTAAGCGGGGAGATGCGAGCCGAGGGCACTTTCTTTGTGTGTATTAGCTAGTATAGGGCGACCGAGCATCGTCAACCCAATTTTCTATATTAGTGTTCTCACCCCACAGCGGTTCTCCGCCTCTTCACCCCTGACTTTTGACATACGCGGCTCGGCGACTCTCGACTCCCAATGCCGCCTCGTCGCATCGGCCTCCATCCTTCTCCTCTCCAAGCGTCCGCGATTTTTAACTTTCCTCTTCGTAAATCTGAAAAGTGACTGAACGATGACTCTCAACCGAATGGTTTCACCCTGGCCCGAGAAGTGGTTCTCAAGCAGCCGAGCTCGGTTCGGCAAGATAATCCACGCATCATTTGAATACGTAGATCGATCATACCATCTTTCCTCACTTCGATACACATTTTTAATTAAAAAAAATCCGCGTACTTATACGGATGCTATCGCTATTCTCTCTCTTTCTTCTTTACTCCCCTTTCAATCTCACGGCATTATATTACATCTGCGAACACAAACGCAAATACGTACGAGCACGCACATGAAAATCAAACTTACCGGCATTCAATTTTGAATTTAAACATCCGTACATCGTGTCTACAACAGATAAGACATTTATCCGTTGTTATGCATAATAATATTTAACCTTCCTAACGTTGTGATTAGGATCTAATAAGTTGTCGACTACAGATATACAGATAAATGTCAGCAGCCACGGCAGATACGGATACACGAATATCGAATAAGAAAGATATTCGTATTAATATGCATTGCCTCCCCCTCCCCCCTCCCCCTCCCCCTCCCCTCCAACCCTCCCCTCCCCCTCCCCCGACTACCAAAGCCGCTAAAATAGTTTCCCCCGTTAGTACAACGATACTATCAGGAACTTCTTCATTTTGTCTATTTGTCTTCTTGGCTTTATGAAGCCAACTACGTCATGCATCCTAGTCCAGTGTCGACACCCTTGCTTTCGAAATAACTTTGTTAAATAATCGCGAATGGCAAATCTTCGATTAATCGGCTAATAAAAAATTTTCTTCACTCCCCACTACCCTATTCGACGTCCTGCGAATGACGTTTCGCATGCAAAATAATGATCCTTCATTGTGAGAGAGGGTCGATTTGATTTTACCGCACCGCTGCTAACCCTGTGTGTGCCTCTTTTTCTCGCGCCGACTTTTTTTGCGACAGCATTTGTATCGCCATCTTTATTTTACGACAACAGGCATTGTGGGCTGGGCCGCATTCAGCAACCCAGGTACTCCTCTTCCTTGTTATCAGCCCAGCCTCCTAGACCAACGCAATCACGTTCAGCGATATATACTGCGCCATTCTTCAAGTGTCCCGAGCATCCCGTGGCTGGACAACGGCGAACATTACTTCTTGTCAAGTTTATGGGGCAATCGGACATTCATCTCTGCATTATACTTCCATTAGAATAAAATAATACGTAATACGTTTGGGTTGCGCGTGCGATTCCAAATTTTTTTCACACATATTTTATGAAATATCGAAGAAGAAAAAAACAAACAGTGAATTACACTTTTGTATATTAATAACGTAATGATAATTCCGTTGTATATTACAGAGATTATTGGATTTCTTGAAAAGGATTTTCATTTCCTTGAAAGACTATGCATACATTGACAATAGTATTGTCGCAGATAACGTCGATGAGGATAGAAACGAATAATCAGCCGATAAAGCCTAACCAAGTATTATTAGAATATGACACTATTTACATTAGGAAATTTCAAATACATTGATTTAATATAACATTGCACATGAAATAACACGCGGGTCAACACATTGATGACAATGACTTGACAAAATAATAGTTTGACATTACGAGTGATATTTAAAATTTCTTTTGAAATGAAAATTTATACTAAAAACGATGAAGTAATAATAGAGTATTATGAAGCGCGCTTTAAGAAAATTTCTGGATGGCGAATAATTTTTATCACATTTTTGGCAAAAAGTATAATAAATTTTGAATGAATATTCTTAAAGAAAGTTTATCGGATGGAAAAGAAAACATTGGCGTAAAATAGAAATATAAAGAATCGAAAGAAAATTATGTAGAGTAGTGCTATGTGATATTTTGAGTAACAAATAAAAAGGAGAATGTCATTGTAGTAGTAATTAAGTAAATATTTATTTGTTAATAAATTAAGAATTAATTAAGAATTCTGGAATTTCTCCTAACTGACGATAATCGCAAAAGAAAGTTAACAAAACAAATACCTACATTTTCATAGACAAAAGTGTGCTTCTAACGATTTTAATATACCCGAGTTATTAAAAACAAAACACGATTAATTATTTTTACTACTATCGACTATTCATATTCGTAAATGTTGTTATAAACAACATGACATTTAGCACTGGAAAAATCTACTTCTAATCACAAATAGACATAGTTTGAATTGTATTTGTAATTAATAATGATTTAATAATGCTTATAAAACAAAAAGGTTAACAGGATAAGACTTACAGTCTTATATATAATTAATGATAAATTAAATATAATTAATGATGTTTAGAAAGAAACGTAATGGAATGACATTATAGGGATATACGATTCGCCATGGTTTTACCAAATGGTTGTTTCGTTCATTTTAATTTATATCGTAGGTAAATATCATCATTAAATTAATCCACTATAATAATAATGTATTAAGATGTCTATAGAGTTGATATTGATATGACGGTGATGTTTTTCCGATAATTATAACAATGAATAAATCCAAGCTTTCTTAAAAGATTCAAACACATCAAAAAGTAGATTAAAAAATCCTCAAAATTATCATCTCGAAAATTCAACGATTTAAATGTAATGTTTTTTTCTTTCTTTTTTTTCTTTTGTTTTTTCTTTTCTTTTTTTTTTTTTTTTAACCTAAACAGCATAGCTTGAATTACTTGGAGTTTAATTAAAACTATTCTTGTTACAATTATTAATATTCCAAAGACCAATGAGAATATTGAAAAGTAAAATATAATTTAATAGCGCGTTGAATGCGAAAATGAAAGATCCGACGCAAAAAGCATAATCAAATAATCGAAGCAATTACTCTTGAAACAAAATCCAACTACATTTTCTATATATATATATATATATATATATATATATATATATATGAAGAAAAAGCAGTAACGTTTATTAAGTTTGTTCTTCTAACAAATATTTCAGCTCAAGACTTACATATTTTATATTAAACAATAGTATAAAACTTTTAACTTAAGTACCATTCTTTTGTTTAGGAGGGATTTGTGTGCCACAATTTTCAATAGTTCATGATTAATAATGATTTCAACTTTATTCAGCACAATTAATTTAATATTCTCTAAATTCATTGATTTTGTCTATTTAATTAAAATTTTGTGCCCTGGTATTATACATTTCTAAAGTTAAGGAGACTTAAGAACTTTATGTGCTCCGATATAATAGTAACAACACAACGCAATAATTATATATAATAATACACAACAGAGAGATTTCTAACGTTAATTATCGATCCATCAAATACTATTATATCATTGTTGAAATTCAAAACTTTATTCTAATAGCGATATTGAGAAATATTCCCTTTGTACTATTCTTTGCGGTGTAAATTTTAGTAATCTAGAGAATACTGAAAGTCATGCTATTTCAGCCTCGACGTATATTATTAATTTTCAATTTCATCCAATTTTTATGCCATTGTAAGCAAGCATCGTTTCGCGCTAATTCATTATTCACTCGAGATTGAAAAGTTTAAAGAAAAGTAAAGCATGAGGAATAAAAGCGGAAAACATTTTTTTTTATTCTTAAATAGACCGGCACGGCTCGACAAACTGCATTGGCCTATTATTAAAGGTAGTTTTGCAACATATAAAGTAATTTCGGCTGTTATGATTGTACAAGAGTGAACAATCGTCAATCATGAGGAAAAAGCACACTGCGTGAAAGTCATTTGGCTCGACAATATTGCAAAATTGCGAAACAACTAGATGGAAATTCATTAACGCCAAACGATGACGAAAATGAAAATTCCCACGCGTTGTACGGAAATAGTAATCGAGTTTATAGCTCCGAGTACTCCGAGCTTTCGCGGCTTCGATTTCACGATGTTGCAAGTATATTCAATTCGCTATTACTGCCCGTGTTCACATTTATTCAATATTCTCTCGTTTCCCAGCCATATTATCATCTTATAATTTAATATTTAATTTAGTGTTCTCAAAATACTAAATATAATGACACCAAGCGGAATTACTCGAAACAGTCGCTTTCCACTTTAAATTATAACAAATACAACTAATTTTGATAATATGTGTCTCTGCACATTGTAATCGGACCTTAATATTTGCCATTGACTTTATTTTCTTATTATTAATGTTTTTCATCTGATTTTCAATTATTTCTTTATACGAAACGTAAGATATTTCAATAGTCTAGAAACTTTAATCGTGATTAAATCTTATTTCTACGAGCACGTACTGACGTAGCGGTACTAACAACAACAATAACAACGATTACAACTGCGACAACAATCACGACGACAACCACGACAATTGTTGTTTATAATTATTTATCCCATTCGCGAGCTTGCAGTAAGACGACTCAATTTGCACAACTGAATTATTAGAAATTAAATGTCAATAAGTACAGAAGCGGAAATCAAGAATTTGCGTAATATAAAAATTATGATTTAACGGAACTGATCATCATAGTTTCGATCTTCATTTAAGTATTTACTAGGATATACAATTTACCTAACGAAAGAACGTTTCGAATATTTGCCATTGCGTCATTCTCTCATAAATAACACATACGCCGCGCAGGCCCACGCATACGCGCCCTCTTTCTCTTTTCACGGGCTTCGCACTATCTGGCCTAAATCAGTAGAAAAGTCTTTCCACGTAAGAATGGTGAGTTAATAGCGAATATGAGGTCAATCTCAACAATTGGGAATTACCAGCTAATGCAATTTCAAAGCTGTGCGATGACCTGAGATTGCGACCCGAGCAGTCAGCGCGAATCGCGGTATGCGAAATTGGCTTAACACTTCTGGCAACCTCAACCACTTCCGATCTCCTCCCAGTCAGTGGATTATATTCACGTTCGCCCATGCCTGATCCTCCCCCTACCCCTACCCCTCCCCTTCCCTCCCCACCCACCCACTCTCCCAACCCGAGATGACACTGTAACCCGTATTTGGTTAATACGAGAGGATTGATTCTTGCGGGAACGACGTATGCTACTCATTTGTGTCCGAGCATCAACCAGGCAAGTTTCTGTGACCTTGAATATCTTGGCGAGGAATGAGGTAGTCCGTGAGTTGGGAGGAGTTCACATTACTTCTAATAATTTCTAATTGGCAAAAATTGTTTTGTAATGGATGAGCGTATCGGTAGATTTAATTCTTGCGTGACACTTTAATCGAAAGTGAAAGTGTTATGAAAGTCGGGCAAAGTAGGAAAGTTTGAGCAATGAGAAATAGAGCTCGAAAGAGACGAAGTATGTAAATATTTGATGGCATAACTCGAATCGGAAATGGTAATTAAGCATTTTTTATAAAAGCGCACTTGAGAATTCGGTCATTGCTTCGAGTCTGTGCCATACGCATCCAATCGCCAATTGTTTGTGAGACTGAGAGAGTCGTCTAATGAGCAATTTAAAGTGAGAATGCGTAGAGTGCGACGTATTTCATCGTGCTCGAGTGAATCTGTAGAATACGTAGTGAGGAGGAGGTAAGGAGGGATGGGAAGCGGAGACTATAAAAATAGTGTACCACAAGTAGGGATTTGGCCCGGCAGGCACTATAAGAGGATATAAAATGCCACGACGACTGTTGTCGAACTATGAAGGATCTTGTATAATTGGGCAAGGAATAGAATCTTGTGTTCTCTCTCGCGGAAGAGGCTCGTGAATTCATTTATCCGTGTGCGCTGTGTGCAAGGAGATGTGTGCATGGAAAGCGATGAGCCATACTTACCTCGAACGTTCTGTCCTCCTGCCACGTTACAATAACAGCTCCCTTGATAACAAGTTTGCCCATTGTTATTCTAATTGTTCTCGAGTGATTTTCCTCGAAATTATCTCTTGGTCGTTTTTCCCAAACACACCTTCCGCGAGGAATTTCAGCTTTCGGTCTTTGGATCTCTACAAATCGTGAAACGTCAGTCAGGCGGAAGCCTGGTTTCAATCCCCATCGATCCTATTAATCAAGTAAGAAGACGTAGATGCGCTTGGCGCTGAAAAGCAAAGGAAATATCTTCGTCAGTAATTTAAAGTGGATCGGAATTATCGAGTTTAATTGCATTTTAAACGCTGAGAGGCAACATTGTGTTATTGTCGCTGTGCACTGTGGCGCCGGTGGCTTGAAATTATCCCTTTGAATCCCTTTGCCCGTTTATCGCTCTTGTCCTTCTTTTGCAATACTTCATTAATGCCTTGATTAAATATTGTTTTATCGCAATGTTATTTTAATCGGCACTAATCAAGCATTTATTTATACGGGATTATTTTTTCCTACTACTTTGTACAGGCAATTATGGATAATCGAGGGAAATTTTATCATAATTCGACAGCGTTAAATTATATGCATACTCACTTGTAAAATACACGGAAATCCTAGACGAGAGTTTATTAATGTTGGCAACGAAATTCCGTATATTTGCCGTGCACAATTAAATTTTTTTACATGG